TGGGAGGCTCTTGAACATCAAGAGCCTGGTTCATGTTCCTGGGGGTTTATGTTTGGACTGCCTCATGTAAGGCACCTTGAACACAGATGCCTAAATCAGGAGGCTATTCACCCAGGAACCTCTTGAGCCAACAGTGAGGGAGTGTTGACCCATCCAGAGGGTGATCCGGTGCAGGGGAGTGACAGCAGTGCGATGAATTGCCCTTGGGAAGAGCATCTCTGCTTCCCTCTGATTGCGCATAGAGGGCTCCTAGCCTTGCAGTTAGGCACGGTATTTCCCCATGGCCTGCCAAAATGAAGGAGGGTAATTTCCTTGTCTCGTTAAAATTTTCATCAGTATCTCTGCTCAGCGGTAGAGGTTCCTCCAGGATACAAGGTTAACTCGGGATAAGGGTAAGTGAGGAACTAGAGTGATTCCCTTGTTAAAACATTGTTGGCACATCACTGAAATTTCAAGCAAAGATGTCATGGTGGATTTGAAATTAGGTTTCTTGTAGAAATGCTTGGTCAAATTCATCATTCACTGAACTACTTTTTAAGTACAGGCAACTTCATGCCCAAATGCAAATCACAACTAGTACTATCTGCACCTAACCATACCCCTGGTCTATGTGGTTGCTTTACAGGTACTATTTTTTCCCTCAACTGAAGCCCCTGTCAGCCAGCTGTGTTTCTGATCTGTCTGGATACATGAGCGGACGTTTACATGGGCAAGAAGTGTCATGGTTAGACAAAAAGAAAGAAGTCCAGGAGGAATGGTGGCACTTAGAACTGACGCTGTGCTCAGTATTCCCTGTCCCTTTTTCTARTAACAGGGGCCCAAGATGGCCCAAGAGTTGGAGCTATTGGAGTCCAAGATGGTGAGAGGGGATGTGCTATAATGTGAGTTCTTTAAGGCAGGGCCTTTCTGGTCTTTGAAGGTTTTCTACTGCAGTGCTATACACTATTTGAAAGGGGCTGCAACTGTTCTGCATCTTTAGATGTTCACTTTTTTTTTTTAATGAACAAAGGTCTAGTTTTATGGTTGCTTTGTAAGAATTAAATCAAAACAGAATTACCTTTTCATCCTGATCATCTTCAGTTGTTTGGAGAGATATTGACTTGGAACTCTTTGGAGAAAGACAAGGCATGTGGCAGTGCTGTGGAGCACGATCCTCCTCCCTTCCATGTAGGCTCTAGCTGCTCTCACTGTTGAGTATTTAACTCTTACTGCAAGGCATGTTCTGCACTCTCTCYGAGGTGCTTGCTCATTATGTTCAAAACATAATGATTAGATGCCAGGTCAGTTGCCAAATTGCAAAGAATATTGTTTTTAGAGYGTAACAGGAGCGAATCTTGACTTACAGAAAATGTGACACCCCCAGGAAAGATGTGGAGTGAATAAGTAACCTCTCAAAGAAAATGAAATATTTATCCTTTGAAATATCCTTTGAAAACTGGACTTGATGGGCTCAAGTGTGAAGAATCGTTATCTTAACACCTCTGTCATAGAAATCTGTTCTGATTTTGTATATGGATATAAAATCTATTTTGTATATGGATATAAAATCTATCTACCTGTAGCGTAGCATGGCTGAAACAGGAGAGGCTATAGGAAAAGACAAAACACTCCTAAGGATTTGCATTATGACAAAAAGAATTTCAGGCCTTTGCTGGCACCATTAAGCCCACATAATGACCATAAAAAGAAAAGGCAGAATGGCAGGTGTCTAGAGGCACAAGGAGGTGAAGGAAGAGGGTTACCTGGACAAAAGAACATTATGCTTAGATCCTGCCAGCTCTTCTGTGTTAGGATACATGTATCTTCTGAAATTTGATTCATTGCTCAGGTGGCAACAGGCAACGTTGCAGGTGGTTTATTTTTGAGCGTGGCTGAATAAAATATGTCAAATTCTGAAAATGTCATTTGGTGCATTAGACACATCAGTGAGCATTGAGGAGAAGGCAATTTGGTGTGTGTTTCAAGTCAACAGAGGTAACGTGCTGTCTGCTGTGTTTTAGTCTTGAAAGTCAAGCTGGAGTCCTTCAAGCAGACAATTCCACAAACAAGGCAGTGGATTGGTCCTGATTTAGGTGTCGAGGGTGAAAAATGAGACTAAAGGAATACTTGAGCGTATGGTGAAGGACCAAGAGAACATAAATAAGCAAATTTGTTATATGATGCGTAATGAATCCCTGGCAGAAAATTGGATCCAGTGGCATATGTTATATATCTATATATTTATAAAAGGATATGCAGTGTAGGGAGGATCTGTCAAGGATGTGTGTACATATATATATATAAATATATATACACACGTATATGTATAAAGGAAAGAAATGGTAGTAGCAGAAGGTCAGATGAGAAATGCTGCCAGTGCTGTTTGAGTGAACCAGCTACAATAGTTAAGATTCTGTTTGTAAGCTTTTCACCAAACTGTTAGCTGGATGTGTGAAAGCAATTTGTAATACTGGAAACTGCATCTTTCCTAYTGCTTCACTGCCATTTCATTGCTTTTCTACTGCTTAGAGAACAGCTGTTGCATACTAGTGTAACCGGCCGTAGTGCAGATTTTGGAAGCCCTTGGAAGGAGTGGGCAGGTGGGGAGTTTRGGGAGCAGAGGAGTCAAGCTGAAGTTGGGCTAGCAGGGATGTCATCCTTCCTACAGGAGRAGGAGGAAGTGTTTGAAACCTGCAGGTGTTTTGCCATAGTCCGAGTCAAGTTGTAGTCTAGTCCATGCGGCAGGAGAGGAAAAGCCGTCACCGCTGCTGAGATGGGTGCTGCTGATTTGGAGCAGCCTTTGAGGGGATGCTGCTTGCAGTGTCATCCTACAAAATTATTGTAGGGTACGTGATGTAAACGTGAGCTGTAGTTAAAAGCAATCCTGATTATGTGGAAAACAGTATGCACCATATAAACATGAGCATGCTTTTTTTTTCTCTGAATTTTAAGAACTAACTTTAGATAGAAAGGTGATTTTAAATATCAAATTACTGTCTTCCTTTAGCCCTAAGGCAATGGTGAGAGAGATTAAGAACATAAAAACTGAACCTGCGTCATTGCAGTGCCCATCTGTCCCGCTGTTGGCAACAGGAACCGTGGTTGGCCACTTTCTGGGTCTGTTCCCGTACTTGCACATGCGCCGCGTCCATGGCGTGGATAGGGACGTCAGAGGGCACATCCCTGCACGTCCCTGCCTTTCAGTGCCTGTTTACAAACCCGCTGTCCCTGACTTTCTCTAATCCCCTTCGGGTACTGTTTGCCTCCATGACCTCCTGTGGCAGCACATTGCAGAGATGCACGGCCTGCCTGAGACATGGTCCTTCCTTCCATCTGCTTTAGAAGGACCTTCCAGCTCCTCCTTATTCTGGCAGTGTGGAGTTAGGTGAATAACAGTTTTGCAGTCATTTGGGTCTGTGCCCCTTGTGACGCTATAAAGCTCTATCATATTCTCCCAACCCTCACCCCGGCCCTTCTTGGCCAAGTCGAAGCCTGGGGCCTGGAGAGGACAGTTTGCCAGTAGTTGGCGTGTGAGGAGGCCAACTGGCCTGCTGGGGTCTTCATCTGGGCTGTCAGCACTGCCTGGCAAGCCAGCCAGATCCCTGTGGAACAGCATGAAGAGACGGATTCTTATTTCTGAAGCTTGCTGTTCTCCTGTACATGTGTGTGCTGAATGAAGGCTGAGGACTGGAGGTCTGGGGAGCTGTGACAGTACCTGGGAGTGGGGCTGCGTACTTAATGGTGTCTCAGGATCTGGCTCCCGAGGGTGTTGTGGTTAAGGTACTCCCCTCCTCCCACTCTCCATTCACTTTTAAGGTGAATGAATCATGGAGCTTACTTCCCAACTCTATGTTTTGTAATTTATGGGTGTTCTGTGAGGTCTCTGCAGTAAGGCAGGCTGCTCCTGCAAGAGCCTCCTTCCAATGTTGCTCTTAATGGTGCATTTGGACTTGTTTGCATCATTTCAAACTAAACCTCTGGCTCACCCACAAGTCCAGTGCGAGCCCTTTGACTTCTAATCCAGGGCATGTTCTGTGTTATTAAAATGAAAATTCTTTATAAAGCGAGAAATTATGATGCTATACAGATATGTGTAATTGCATCTGCTGCTTTTCTGACTTGTCAACCCTTATAGATATTTTTCACATCATGACTCATTTTTCCTTAGTCCCACTATCAATGACAGATTTTTCTCCAGGTCTGTGCAGTTTCAAGTCTTTTTACACGTTTTCCACCTTTCTGTCTACAATTAAAACTATTTTTAGGAGAGTCCCCTTTCTCATGCTCACCTTTTTGTGAACCACAATAAAAGTGTCAGTAACCATTTTTCTGCTCTCACTTCTGAAACATATCAGATCCTTGCACAGATGATTCATTCACTCGGTTAACAGTAAAAGCAAACATCCATTTTTTTCAGTTAATGTATGCTAGTACTTTCTAATTGTACAAATATATATTCTATTCAGAATTTTTTGTTCTCCTTTATGATTACTACATAAAAATTTCTTGGGGCATGAAAGTTGAGGCAAATTTTAGGTTAAACTGCAAATTCTACCAGCAGGTAACCACAAGTGTAAGGAGATGAACACCTGAATCCTGTGCAGGAGAAATGACAGCCCAGCAGGCTCACGCTTCGCTGTCATGAAGATTGCAGGTTATAGGATGAATGTGTTCAATGTTAGTGCCAAGCCATAAATGTAGCCTTGAGAAACACTGACTCCTTTGCTAGTCTTTCTTGGCATTGTGCACAAGAGGTAAACAACAACATGGAAATGGTGGCGAGGAAGAAACAGAGACGGGCTGGCAAACAGCAGAGGAATCGCAGGGTTGCCAAGGAGAGGGAACCTGAGGACAGGAGGAGGTGGATCCTGTGATGGCCTTTGGAGTTTGGATGGAGGAGATGATGGGATGGACAGGAGCTGAAGCAGAGCAGACCCTCTGAAGCTTTGTTTGCTGCCTTTGTATTATTATCAAAGAGGTTTGATTTATTATTTTAATCAGATTTTTATTTTTTGTCACAGTATAAGCATCCATGGAATGAAGCAGGCACGTGCTGGACAATCCCGGTTTGGTTGTTGCCTTCGGCAGAGATTTCCTGTGGGGCGCTAGTGAGGCCACCATGGACTCCAGCAAACACCTCTTCTCTTTGGGTGCCCGTTGTGAGCAGGAAGCTCAGGAGCAGCTTCCCAAAACTCCTCTGGAGTTGTCATAGCTGCAGTGAAAACTGGGCAGGCAACATCTGAAATGGGTTATGATGATAAATACGTTTATACAATTTATGGTTCTAAAGTGTTTCAAATTGGGCACCCAAAGCACAGAGCTACTTTGGCAGTGTCTCAGGATTGAGGAGAATGTTTTTCGGAATATCATAGAATTGCCCTATATCAGAATGCCCATGCCTATGCCCAGAATATCATAGAAATGTAGAATATCATAGAAATACATGTAAATGAAAAATTGGTATGTTTGTTGCAGAGTAATATGATATATATTGATATATATGATATATGTATATATATGTGTGTATATGTGTGTATATAAATATATAGTAAATAAAAACAGAGGGCAAATCCTAAAGGAATCTACCAAATAAAAACAGTAACTTCTATTCTCTGAATTGAATGATACAAGTATTCTGAGCAAAATGTACTATGTGCTTATATTCTACAGCATAAAATCCTGCTGGGGCACCGTTAGAATAGTTTTCATAATATTTAAGCATTTAATATTGCATTTTTTTCTCTTTTAATGTAGTGCTTTTGTGGATAATACAGCAAAAGGAATGAACTCTTAGACTGAAATAGGCTTGAAATCGCAATTCATTTAGGAAGTGGTTTTTCATATCATAAAAACAGTTCATTTGGACAAAGTAGGATTAGACTGCACTGACAAAATTGTCCAGGAAAATGTGTTGTCGATGCCTGTTGTGTGTTTGCTTCCTGCCCTTACTATTAATTTACATTCTCTTCAAATACTAAAATTAACTATACTAATCCTGACTTTGAAGTAGCAAATGCATGGCCAGAATGGCATTGAAGAAGCTCTTTGCTTTGCAGTAATGGTATGAATATGGTCTAAAAATAGCTTCTCATTTTTATAAACGCATTCTGAAATTTGTGTGGGGAAAAGAAAAAAAAAAGTAATTGCTTAAAGAAATACTGATGTAAATTATTCATTGGTAAAACCAGAGTGGGGCTTTTCTGACACTTGCATTGCTCTCACTACTGAAAACAAAGTGAGGAGCACACGGTGTGAACTTTACCCACTTTCAATACTGGTTCTGACAATGAAAGCTTAGAGCTAGAAAATTCCCATTTAATCCTCCTGCCTGACAAGTGTCTTACTGTTTAGCTGCCTGCTTCTCTTTATTGCAGTCTGTAGTTTATTGTCACAGCATCTTAAGTACCAGGATCTCCTGCTGGCTACGGAGGAGAATCTCTGCGTGAAGGGATGCAGCTTCCTAGCGAAGGTAGTGGGTGAGGTCTCCCAAAGAGAAGGTCATCAGCACCTTTCCTGTGCCATAAGCAGGAGGAATTAGTTACTGTATGGAATTTGTGCCTCTTGCAGCATTCGTGTTACAAAATATTTTAAAATATTTGAGACATTTTAAGTACTTTAGCTATATATGTCTTATCAGATATCAAATATTTTATAGTCTATTTCAAAATAAATGATAATATCAATAAAATACCTTGAATCATTTTTATTATTTTAAAATTATAATTTAAAAATAGAATCTGAAATGATTGAGAAATGATTTATTGTTGAAGTTTTTTATTTACTATCAAGTTGTTATTACTTTTACAGTGTTAGAAGTTGAGTTATGTTAAAACACAGTGTAAAGAAATGCATGCTGGAGTATTACCAGTCATCAAATGATTAGTTTGTAGGTATCTCTAGCTGCAGATCCTAAAGCATGAACTCTTCTGTGTGTTTTTATTCATGGAGAATATAAGATCATAATGATGTGCCAGATCTTACACTAAGTAATTTCTTGTAAAATTCCCCAGACAGTCACCTAGGTAGAGGACATCAGACTTGGCAGTAGAGAGTTTGCTTGGAAAGGATGAGCCAAAAAGTCCATGTGGTCATCACTGACCTGCACCTCTAGCAGTGGCACCACATAAATGCAGAAGTGCTGCTGGCCAAGAGGTTTGGCTGCATCTGTAGCTCCTACGCACAGGACATGTGCAGCACATGGGCACAGCAGCACGTGCCTGAGCATTGAGCTGTTGCTTATGAGTTTTCCTTGCAGCTTTTGCTGAGCTGTCCCTCCTTTTTTGACCCAATAGGAACCATGTGTGTAATAGATATTTAATGAAGTTATGCAAGAATGTATCCAACTTGCTTAAACCTTTTTTCAAGAAGAAATGAAGCCAATCTAGAAAATCAAACCTAGGCTGTTGATAAGCTGGAGTGTGGTACCTATCTGCACAGTAGAGCCCTTCCTTGGGGCTGCAGACACACTCTGCAGTTAGATGCCTACAGTAAAACAGAGGTCAGTCACTATGGTGTCATGCAGACTGGTTGGCTGCTAAGGGATGAAGACACAGAGTATTTTTAGTCAGATGGAATCAGGGTCTGAGAGACATCCTGAAGAGGAAACATTTGAGCTTGAGTTTCTTTAGCAGAGATTCTTTGGCATTGGTTGCTACTGAAATGTGAAATCAAGCTGTGAATGCAGCTTTTCTGTGTAATTACTTGAGGACTCAACCCATTTGTAAGGTCCTAATTTCTTGTTGAAGAGGGTCTTTAGTAGTCAGTAGGAGTAGAAGCCTTAAATTTCTTCTTGTTAGCTGCAGAGCAAACAGAAGAATTTTTGAAAAGGCTGAAAGGGCTCAGGTTGTGCAAGCAAGAACTGGCACAGTCTTTAGCCTTGTTTTTCTTTCTTCCAAGTAGGCACTGTGAAACTAGTTGCTATGTCTAAGAAATGATAAGAGAATTTTGGTGTTTATTTGGCTAACTTAAAAGGTACAGTCTTTAAATTAACAGTCCACATGAAAAGAAATTGAGGAACTTTTTTGAGGGGAGACACAGAATGAAAATTTTAAAATTGAAGCTACTAACTCAGATATATGCACTGGAGTGCAGAGATTATGAGGGGCTATTTCCCCCGAAATGCATTGTAAGATTGTGAACGAGCAGAGAGAAGGTGTCTGGGTAGGAATGAGGATAAAAGAGAACGTCCTAGCTGGTTAGATACAGACATCTGCCTGCTAAGTGACTTTCCAGACTTTATCTGACTTTTTAATTTAGGCTGTAATTAATATTGAAAGTGTTCTAGGACCATGATTTTATACCAGCAGAGAATGGGGAGAATTGTCCCTTGCAGTCTTCCTGATGGGCAGATACAAACATCAGTTCTGTTCTCTCTCTTGCCTAATGTTCCCCTATCTTGGTCCTTGGCTCGCGGTAATAATCAACCTGCCCTGTCTGCCTGATCTACAAGATAGGCTGTTCTGAAAAATAACCTCCCCAGTTCACTCCTTCCGTATCTATTAGTCTTGTTAATAAAAGGAGTCTTTTGTTGCTTTTCTCAAAGCAACATGTTTATAGTTTCCCATCTTTTACAATCAGAAACATATTATCTCCCCTTCCCCTTCTTTTTATTGGTGAGGAAAGTATAGCTTCCCTATGGATAGCTGAGTTATAATTTAGACCTTTCCAGGTTACAGTTGATACCACACAATTCTCCTGTTAGTGTCTCCATCATTTCCCTGAACGTGTCTGTATGTCGTCTTCTAGTTTCCAGCTGGAGCTTTGACACATGCAGGACTCTGCTGATTTCAGCTAAAACTCTATTCCCCTTTCCAGTAATGCATCTCAGCTCAGATCTTTTATTGATGTCCTTGTCAGGCACCATATCTAATTAGAAAGTTGAGGTATACATAATGGAGAGATGTGGAAATAGAGTGGACACAGAAATAAAAGTGAAGAGGCAGGAAAAGAAAGTTTTAAAGAATTCCCACTGTCTCTAAGAAGAAACATCGGTGTGATACCAGATGTCCTGAAGCCAGGTATTTCTGTGAAATATGCCAACAAAAGTGCATTTTAGCTCTATGATTTTGTACTCTCTCAGTTTCTGCATTTCTTAAGTGTAGAATTCTGCTTGGAGTCTCTAAAGAGCCTGCTGTCATCTCCTTTCAGAATCTCCAGGCATCCCATCTTTATGGTCCAGCAAATCAAGAGAGTTATTTTCCACTCCCCCCAAATCTTTTGAATGGCTTTTCCACCCTCCTCTCCTTAAAAAGGGAAGTTTCCGTTTTTTTCCAAACAATATTTCCCGTACAAACCTGCTCCCTTTTCTCAAGTTCTTCTGTGTGCTTCTGCCTTCCTCTTTCAAGTCTAAGTGCTTTACACTTTCTATTCTTTTGTTTTTTTTCTCTTGCATCTTTAAACGTCTCATTTAGTCTGTCCTCTCTTCTCTTGCTACCTCAGATTTTTCCGTTTTTCTTGGAGCAACATTTGTCAGCTGGATAACAGATTCATTTCCAAAGCTACTTTCTTCTCCTGGCTTCCCAATCTTGGCTTCAGTTTGATAAACCTCTTAGGTGAATGTTATAGTTAATTCCTATTTAAGGCAGAATGTGATCTTGAAAGCATCTGGGCATGCTTTCTGTAATTGAGGCTTTATTATATAAAGACCAAGTTTAATTCCTCAAATCTCTTTTGTCTCTGTACTACTGTTGTGACCATCTGGGAGAGTTGCCCCCACTGCTGAAAAAGCAGGGAGGAGCTTGTGGGGTTTGGGTCTTTTTTTTCCTTTCTTTTATTTATTTGTTTATTTTTTAATTTATTTTACCCCGGCCCTCATGCTATTGGAGTTGCACGGGATGGACTGATATGATTGTGACCCAAAATGGTGCTCAGTGATGCAGCTGCTGCTGTAAGCAAAACAAGCTCCACTACTTTATTTGTGTGCACTTGTAGAATAACAGAACTCAAAAAAGCAAAAGTGCTGTTACTACTGTAGCTGTTGTTGGGTTTTTTTCCTTGTAAAAGACATAGGTCACATCTGCTTCTGGTGAAATGCTTTATTTTTAGGTCTTAACATATGTGGATTTTTCCTATGTGGTTACATCTTAACATATGTGGATTCCTTTTCAAAGAATTCATCTCAGTGTCTCAGCACATCTTCTTGAAAATCTCAGACTACTGTCTTTTCTCGTATAACGTGGCTGTTTTTTCACCATAATTTTCTGCATCTTTAGTATTCCTAAGATTTTTTTTCACAAGCTGTTATTGTTTCACATGCAGGTTTTCTTTATAATTATTGTTAAAACTAAACCCAACTTTGGCTTTTGGTATGGATTGGCAGGCAAACTAAACTATTTTTATTTCTTCTTTGTCACAGAGAAGGATTGTGTAATTTATGCTGCATGCATATTATTTTATTGCTGAATGTTCAGTGTCTTTTGCTTAAATAATTTTCCTCATGTTTCACAAGTGTTTCACTGCAGTTCTTTCTGTTTTAAAGTAGTGGCTTTTACTGAAATTATGCAGT